CCCCGTGCCTGGCCCGGCGCTGTGTCGGCACTGTCGCGATGTGGCGCTGCGCGGGCGGCGCTGGTGAAGCGCAGGTATCGCGACCGACGGCAGGAGCGGGGCAGGAGCTGGGGCTGAGCCCCGCGGGTGGGGGGGCCCGCGGGGGGGGGGGGGGGGGGGCCCCGGGGGGGGGGGCCCCGGAGGAGGAGGAGGAGGGGAAGGGTCTGTCCCCAGGTCGGGGACTGCGTGTGCCAGAGGAGAGGGGAGATGGGGGAGATTCTGAGTAGCTGCTTAAGCAGAGCAAATAATACTTGTTTATTGAAACGACAGTACTGCAAAGTTCTCTGCTTGCAGTGGGAACTATGAGAATGTTCTTCTTACTGTGTATTTTATATCTCAATCCCAGTGCTTCACAGGGTATTTTATTTGAAGAGCTGTTTTTATCAAATTTTGTTCTCTACTTCTGAGCAATACTGAATTGCCTCTCTGCCCTGCCTGGTTGCTGACATGCAGATGACATTCCTCTATGGAGTCCTGTTGCCCTGTGTTTATTCCATGCTTTTGTGAGACCTAAAGGAGTTGTACTTTCCCTGAATCATGTCATGTGGTGGTGCTTGGCCGTAGTAACTGTGCTATAAACACTTCCAAAGTGCAACTTAGAGCATATGATTCAAGTTAAAATCTTCCGTGTCTTCACAGCAGCTCTGATGCCCCTGAAAACAGGAAAGCTGGAACTCACCTGTTCCAAAACTGTCTGGATTTGAAAGACAAGCTGGGAAAGAAAGAGAGTAGGAAGCAAAACTGAAAGGGAATGGTCAACCTGAGGAAGTAGGGAAGCAGAACTGTAGGGAATGGTTGGAAGGGATGACCTGCATTTGTCTTGTGTAGCTGGACTGGAGAAGGCTCTGGGAGTGGCATGTTTTGTACCTGTAGAGTTCTTGTTCTCTTACCCTCTTCCCTCTGGAATAAGATGTGATACTTAAAGGTTCTCATTTTTTCAGCACCATTCGCACTGCAGTACAAAGCAGTGCTAAGATATAACTTTGCTTTAGGTGCTTGATGTTTCAGTCAAAGGACATTAAAACCTCTTTAATGTCTGTGTGTATGTGGCAGCCTTTGTAAGATCCTGCAGTGTTCACATGTACCTACATCAGAAATTGGAGTTTAGGAGTTTTTTTGGACAAAAATTGCTCTGTAGTTTTAAAATGAACACACATTCAATTGGAATATGAAATCACAGTTATTCTATAGCAATAGCTTGGCAGGAGAGGAAACTAGTAAACATTTTTTGCCTTACCTTGGGGTGAAATAACTTTGATGTAGGGCTTGGTTGCAAATGGCTGCAAATAATTTTTGCTCTCAACAAAAGATGAATTATTTTGGAAAAAAAATGCAATTTCCTCCAAGAGAGTTGTAATTTAGGACTGAGGATCTTGCAGATATTTGAATTAATTAAAAAACTGGGTTATATCCTTTACAGCAGTCATGAAACAACAGCTTGGCATATGAATAGCTGCTCCCGTTTTAAAATGTGTTAATTTTTACAGCATTCTGAGGTACTTTGCACACATTTTGGGTGAAGGAACAGATGCAGAGAGGTGATATGATTTGCTCTAGGCCAGGGTAGCAAAACTTAGATTACAGAGTCCATCTCAGAGACTTTTGGGCTTATTTACAGGGTAGTTATCTTTTAAAAGGTTATGAATTTCTACAATGATGTCATACAGAGGAATATTTTTGTCCAAGAGAAGAGATTCAAGAAGAAAAACACTGCAAGGCTGTAACAGTGTCTATGGTTGGTTGTTGGTTTGTTTGGTTTTGTTTTGTTTTGCTGTTTTATTTCAGAAGGCTGAGACCAAAGAGGAGTTTGTGAAAGTTAGCAGGAGGGATTTGGAAAGGCTGACAACTGAGGTTATGCAACTGAGGGATTTCTTACCCAAAATAATCAATGGAGATATCCTGGGTACATTCCAGAAACTGGATGCTATTGAATCAAGTGAGTAGCACCATGTTACAAGCTCTTACAGTTTCTGCCAAAACTGTTTAGATCAGTCATGCCTCTACAAATAGTTGTAGAGTTTGTGGAGGTATTCCAGGTTCGACTGTGATGCTCAGTGACTGCTTCAGTGAATTAATGTGTTTGTGGTGAAGAAAATTACAGACTGCATTAGAAATAATTAGACATGTCAAATTAATCTTTAAAAATATTTTGCTGTGGATAAAAACACATTTGGTTCAGGCAGTGAGGGAAGCTGTAGCAGGAAAAAAGTGTTTTCCATTTGGGAAAAGGCAAAATCTTTCTGGTTTTCAAAATGTCACTTTAGATACACAGCAAAAATATATATATAGCAGTAGATAAAATGTTAAAGGAAGAGATAAGATCTCCTGATGTGACCTATAACATGGATGAGGATGTGTCAACCTCACACTGCAATGTGTGCCCAAGTGCCTCGTTCAGCTTTTGAGTCTCTGTCTGTCTCGGGACCATATGCCACTTCTTCCCAGAGCCTAATTTGCCATTCAGTGGTGAAGTTACATATTTCCTCTTTGTATAAATATGCCATTTCATGTTTTTTTGCTCACCCAAGTGATAGTGAAAGCTGCTTCTTTCTCTTCAGAGCAAAGGTGTGCACAGTTGGGAGAGCTGACTGGGGAAAACATGGGATTTTCCGGCAGTGAGGCACAAATGGAAGCTGATCTCTTTTCAGCAGCTTCCACTAGTATCCTTTTTTTTTTTCCTCTCAACATAAAACATTGTGATACCGTAAAGCACATTGTCAATCCTTCTTTTGTGTGAAGGACTTTGAAAAATACAGGTAGCATTGTGTTAACACTCAGTAGTTAGTATTATTCCCCTTCTGGCTCAGGCTTGGTTCCAGGACCTTTGAAATCTGCCAGTGAAGGATGTGGCGTCTTTGTGTGTCTGCTGGCTGGATTCAAGTTGGATCCATCCTCTCAAAGGCTGGAAATGATTCCTCACTTTCAGGAGAGCTTGTTCTCTTGCAGTGAGAGAGATTCTCACTGGATGTACTTGCAAGAATAAACAGACTCTTGGTCTGCTATAGATAAGCAGAACATGCTCTACTCATGCTCACAACATCTTTGTGTTAACTACTGAAGACTCACACTCACATAGTGCCTGGGACTGAATTTTTTTTACTTGTCAGGTTGGAAATTCTCCTGCCACTGACCATGAAGTGTCTAATTTGGATTGTATTTCTGATAACACCAGAAACTAATTTTTTTTAAGGAATCATAACATTTGCTTGTAACTGATGTAATGTTTAACTAGTGTGTAGTCACAGAACCACTGAATGGTTTGGATTGGAAGGGACCTTAAAGATCATCTAGTTCCACCCTCTGCCATGGGCAGGAACACCTCCCACCAGAGCAGGTTGCTTATAATACTTCATGAATTTAAAATGTTTTGAATAGTTGCACTTCATTCTTACTATTCATAGAAGTTGTACATGGTGTATTGAAACACACAGTTTTGACTGATGTTGGGTTTTTTCCTAAGGTTTTCAATATACATTATTATATATATAATATGCTACTGACTTGAGTGAAACTTCACTCACTGAATTTTCATGAAAAGCATCGTGGAAAATTGACTAAGTTTAAAAAAATCTCATCAGCACAGAGTATTTAACAACCAGATGTGATTCTTTCAGTGTTGCCCTGTTTTAAACCAGAAACTTCTTCATTTGCTTCCCAGAGCTGTTGTCATACAGCACATTGCAAGATGCAGTTTAGCCACCGGGAGGTGATCTCACACCGGCAAACAGCTGAAGCACCTCAGCAAAGTTGCACTTTGTGGATTCTTTTTGCTGCAGTGTAGGCCCCTTGGTCATAACGTTCATCTGATTTATCTTCTCATAGACCTGGAGAAAAAGGAGGAAGAAGTAGAGCAGTTGAAAATGGATTGTGAACACTTAAGAGCCCGTCTGGAAACAGCCCAGGCAGATTGCATGAGAGAGAGGAAGGTAGATTTGCTGTCAGAATGTTGGTGTCTGTGTGCTTGAGTGTTAAGAACAAAAGCAGAAATGGTAAGTTTTTCATGTTCATGTCACAAAGTACATCCTCAGTCTGGAAAACAATCCTGGATTTCTATCCATATAGTCAGGTGGTGAGGAAATTACTTCCCTATAACTTCATCATTGATGGTTTTTCCCTCTTGGTATTTCTAGAGCAAAAGGGTCAATATTGTAACTAGGCAAAATATAGTGAGATGCAGTACCCAAAAGTAGTCAATGTGTGCAAACAGAGGTGCCAACTAATCTCCAACTGAGGTACATAACTCCTGCATAGCTGCATGGATTTCCTTCAGCTTCAGTGCTGTGTGGGGTTGTGTTATGGGTTCTTGGCAAGGTTTATTTTGGTCCATGTGAAGTTAAAATCAAGCATTTTGTTTATATTAACATGTGGAAGCAAAACATTGGGTATTTGGGGAGGCAGTGGTGTAGCATTCAAAAGGTCCTTCACAGAACAGTTCTTTTGACTTTAACTGTAACATATTTTCGAAGAGGACAACAGAAGATAATGCAATCAGTGCAGTGTACAGAATAAAACCTCTCTTTTGGCTTGCTGTGAGCTGTGTACCTTTGTTTAGTGTTAATAGTCTTTCTCAATGCACCTATTGATCCAATTGCCATGTACAGCTGTGAATCAAGGAACAATTACAGAGCTCTTTTTGCTCTGTCAATATTGTAGTTAGTGATTATGAGAGGGGAGATTCTTAGCAATGAAGGAATAGCAATGACTGTGACTCCTCAGACTGGGGGTCTTGTCTGAAGCCATTGAGGTTCAAATAGGACCACACAGATTAGTGGCTTAATTTCTGAGAGGTCTGAGAGTCAGTGATGATTATTTGCTGCAAAAGTTCATTTCCTTGGAGCTATCTTCAGTAATCAGTACAAGCTCACCTTGTTGGGGTTCTACAGTTGGCATCTGCCAGCCTGGGGATTGCACAGAGACAGATGAATCCACAGAAATTATTTCATTTTATTAAAAGGAATAAATGAAGTGTTTAGACATGCAGTTTTAGGGCACATCTGTGTGGAGAAGTGATGCTGGAATGAGGTTGGTATGATGGAGTAGTTGTCCATCTGGACATTCCTTACTTCAAGGTAGGGACAGATACTGCAGTTCAGCAATAGGTACAGGGTTAGCTTTGCTGTGCACCCAGGTCTTCAGCTGTGTAAGCATCCTGGATAAAATCCCTGGAAGATTTAGTGTTGCTGCTTTAAATATTGACAAAGTGAGTGCCAACCTTTATGCTTATTCATGTTATGAAATAAATGGCAGCTGGTTTGGGTTTGTGATTTCTTTTGGATGTGTTTTACTTAAAGCATGGATAATTTAGTAAGAGGAGTTGTTTTGGTGTCCCTGACCTCTTATCTTCATGCCTTTGCTGTTGTGCAGTATATGACAGTTGTCTAAATAGCTTCTGCTATATGCCAGGAAGATGTATTTGTCTGAGTGACTTGTTCCTAGGTATGTTGTGAAGTCCTTTAGCTCTTCAGGATACAAGAAGATGGTTTGTGTGTGTGTGTGTGATTTTTTTTGTTCCCGTTAATCACTGCTCTGGTGTTTTTCATTTGATTTTTTTATTCCAGTTAATCACTGCTCTGGTGTTTTTCATTTGGTTGCTGCTCAGTGATAGGAATCCTTGCATATAGTTTCTGAATTATTTTCTACACGTTTATCTTCTGAAGGAGAAGGAAATGATTCACAGAGACAAACATAAAATAAACGCCTGTTCTAGTTGAGCAGTGTCCTTTTCTGAGGGCATCATAAATCAACATTTTGCATTCCAGAATCTCAGTGCTGAGCTGTATTGCTGATTAGGGAATTGCTGTGCTTTCTGAACCTGAGCAAAACTTGAAGTGCACGTGTTATTCTTGGCTAACATCTTCTTTGTCTGTCTTTTTGTAGCTCCATACTTGGGCACTGCTGTGTTCTTGTGCCTTGACCCTTTCCTGAAGGTGGTGGTGTTGCATAGCACAGGGGTTGTGATGTGAACTCTCAGGAGTGTTGCTTCCAGCTAGGTTATTTGCTTTTGCAGGCTCCGTTTATTTTCCTGGCTCTTGGATGTACTATTTTGTTTTCCTTACTTCATATCTTTGTTCTGATGTTGCTTTTGATCTATTAAAAATTCTGGCATTGCCTGAGCTAGCTTTGCATCCTGGTTGGGAGATCTAGCTTCGGTATTACTGAGTTTTATGCCTTACTATTCAGTGTAACCGTCCAAATGCAAATAAAATGTATTAAAGATACATTTCCCTGAGACAAGAACAGCACAGGAAAGACAGGGAGAATACAGGGATTAGACAGGAAGATGCCTGTGGACATTTTGTTGATGCACTGGTGGCAGAAAAGCTGATAGGTCTGGCAGCGAGTCATGTAAAAGATAGAATTTGGCTAATTTGCTTAAAAACGATCAAAGTATTAAGAAATAAGAGACTTTTCCTGGGAGACTCTGCCTATGGAATCAGCAGCAAGTGTCAGTCTTTTGCATATATTAGACTATAAGGTGAAAGAGATTCCAGAGAATAAATATTCACAGAAGTCTACTTGATAAATTCAATTTGAACTTTACAAATCCTGGCCTGAGTGTTCCATTAGCAGCTGATAAAGCAGTGCAAATCAGGCTGTCAGGTGTGATCAGGAGGCTCTGTAGGCAACTGATGACAGAGCACAGGCAGCTTTGTACTGGCTGATAGCAAGTTATATAAACTTTCAGATGAGTTTATGCTTCTCTTCTTTCCAAACTCTCAACACAAAACATTGAGGTGAACCCTAAAAATGAGAAGATACTAATTTTTGAATCTTGATAACAATATATGGTTGAAAGGCTTCTGTTTAGTTGCTGTCAAAACTGACATAGAGGATTCCTTCTTGTTTCCCTGTTCTTCATCTTGGTAGCTAACTAAACACACTGGGGAGGTTGGGCTGAGAAGGTGCTTTCTGCAGTGAATCTGAAAATCCCATGTCTGTAAAATGGGCAGAGTGAGGTCCTTCTCTTCTTTTGACTTTGTGTGACCTGCAATTCTCTCTAATACTTGAGTTAGCATCATTTTTCTTGACTGGCCTGTGTCTTTCCCTGCAGCACAGTCTAGTACCATCCCACCTGGAGTTAGCAGGGAGCCCCCACTCACCCTGAGAGACCACAGACAATCCTTGGACCACAGGAATCCCTGCCTTGCTCTCACTCTCTGTGCCAGGTTTTCTGCCCCGTGGCAGTTGGTAGGAAACCACTGAGACCTAGAATCATACCCAATCTCATGATACTCTTCCAGCCAACTTCCCATGTGATTGGAAAAAAGAACTGTCAGATTGAAATTGTGTTCTGGTCGTGGAGCTTTGTGGCAAGAACCAATGAGCAGCTCACTGAAGTGATTATAGAATCACAGAATGGTTTGGGTTGGAAGGGACCTTAAAGACCATCTAATTCTAACCCACCTGCCATGGGCAGGGACACCTTCCACTAGACCAGCTTGCTCAGAGCAGAGCTCCACCTGGTGGATACAGAGTGGTGCCACAGAAGGTTCTCCACACTTCAAAGCTTAGGTGTGTTTTGAGGAACTCCGTGTTGCTTTGCCACTGCTGATCAGGATCCTAGATCTCCAGCTGTGTGGCTAAAGCAGAAGTCTGTTTTGAAAAACAACACAACCCTCCCTTCCCATAAGAAGTTTCCAGTATCTTGTGTAAGGTGTCTGGGAAGGCTGGCCCCTGATGCTGAAATCCCCTCTCTCTTGAAGAGACATGTAGCTGTTTGCTTAGGAGGAGATGACTCTCCTATCAGACTTCTGTAGGTGCCACTCCGTCTCGGTGGGTCACTTGGTTTGACCTTGTGGACAGGCTTCTGGTTACTGTCAGTGTCCAGGATGTTCTGACTGCTCAGACACAGCTCAGGAGAGAAGGTACCTATGTGTCTGCAACTGCTCTGAGTCTGCCACCACACACACCCTCTCCCCTCCATGTCATATATGGCCCCAGTTTTGCTTCTTGTTCTGTGCCTTGGCCTAGAAACTTGCTGTGGCAGATACAAACACAACCAAAATTCCTTTACACTGTTCCAGGAGAAACTAGACCTGCGCCAGCAGCTGAATGAGGCCAAGCAGCAGCTCCTGCAGCAGGCAGAGTATTGCACAGAGATGGGAGCAGCAGCCTGCACCTTGCTGTGGGCTCTATCCAGCAATGAGGAAGCTGTTAAAACCATTCTAGGAGGAGTAAGTATGGCAGGTGAACACTAAATGGTGTAATGTTTTTAGGCCTTTAAAATAAGGATCTATTTCAGAAAGTATTTGAGCAGCAGAAGTGTTTTCTTGGTTGCATATTATCTGGAAACCATCCGTTCTCATTTAACAAGTGTTGGAGCTGTTATGAATAAATGCAGTAATTAATTCTATGTAGTTATTGTTTCCAGACAAGGGTTATCTGTTTTCCACCACACCCAGTTAAACTGGAAGCAAGGCTACAGTTAGCACAATGTGAATATCTCTGCAAGCTAACAGAAGAAGAAAATACTTCCTGGGCATATGCAGGAGTTTCCATGCCTGTAGAGAGATTGGAGAAGCTATTTCCATGGAAGGAAGACAGATACATTGATTCTCAGCTTCTTTAAATCTCTGTGCTGCTTTAATACTTGCATGACTCTTGGAAATGTGAGAGCCTAGCTGCTAGTGATCTGATGAAATCTTCAGCATTAGACATGGACAGGTAGCTTATTTGAAAAAAAAAGACCAAACCCAAAGCAACAACAGTTAATAAGAGTTGTAATAATGCAGCTAACACAGTTTCACAGCCAAGTGCAGCTGATGAAATTAGGAGGGATCAGAGGAACAGGCCTGATGGAAATATGATTTTCATTCTGACACAGCCAACGTGAGAAGGAATTGCTATACTTAATCTTAGTGAACTGATGACACAGTTTCTTCTGGCTTGATTTTTCAGCAGCATGATGAACAGCTGAGTGAACAGGATTAGTTCATTATAGGAAGTGGTAAAGTAGTGTGTTGGTAAGGGTTGTTCTAGTTTGTGTGCACCAAAATACAATTATAGCTCTATATTGGATATTAGAAAGCTGTACAGTGATGCCTTTTGGTGATAACTTCTGATGATTCAACAGCCAAGCAGCAGCAGTTACCAAGGGGAAAAGAGTCTGTAAAAACACTGCATAAAGCAGTTAAAATTTAAAGAAAAAGGCAGGTTGTTGAAAGCAGTCTGAAATATCAAAATTCAGTAGAACTAGGTAAAGACAAAACTCTTACCTGAAGATCTGTGTAAAGGTAAAAAGCCCAACTGTGAAGGTGTAAGACTTTGGGGCTTAGGTTTGTTTGAAATGCAAAATACTTCTACTGTAGTCATTTCCAGCAATCATTAGAGCCTGTTGAACTGCTGTACTTCTGGTGAAGCTCATAGCGATGTTCTGAGACATCATTTTCTTGTGCTGGTGCACATAACACAGTAAGAAACGTGCCTGGGTTGGCAACAGGACTACTAGGAAAAACATAAGTGGATTGTATGGCACTGTGTCAACCACAGATCACAGCTGGCAATGAGTCAGGTTATTAAAAGATGATGGAGATTTAGTTTGGGTTATATTTGGACAAGTTGTACAGCTTGCAGCATCTTCCCACCCTCCCCTGAGAAGGTGCTATGAACAACAGAAATGTAAAAGAACATCAAGAGTGGTTTGAAACTGTTGCTGGTATTTGAGCCCCTAGGGAAGGTGGCTGTCATGGTTTAACCCCAGCTAGCCATCACACACTACACAGCCACTTGCTCACTCCCCCACCAGCAGGATGGGGGAGAGAATCAGAAGGGTAAAAGCTGGAAAAACTCATGGGTTGAGATAGAGACAGTTTAACAGAGAAAGCAAAAGCTGCACACACAAGCAAAGCAAAACAAGGAATTAATTCACTGCTTCCCACGGCAGGAGGTGTTCAGACATCTCCAGGAGAGCAGGGACCATCACATGTAACAGTGACTTGGGAAGACAAACACCATCACTCCAAACATCCCCCTGTCTCCTTCTTCCTCCCACCTTATACACTGAGCATGATGTCCTATGGTGTGGAATATCCCTTTGGTCAGTTTGGGTCACCTGTCCCAGCTGTGTCTCCTCCCAATCTCCCAGGCACCCCCAACCTCCTTTCCAGAGTGGCAGTACAGAAAGCAGCAAAGGCCTTGGCTCTGTGTGAGCTCTGCTCAGCAACAACAAAAACATCTCTGCATTATCAACCCTGTGCCCTGCACAAATCCTAAACACAGCCCCATATTAGCCACTGTGAAGAAAGTTAACTCTACTTCTGTCCAAACCAGCACAGTGGCATCAGTTCAGAGTCATTTAATTCCTTAGGGACTAATTCCCAAGATTTTTTCAGTCTTTGCACCAATACAGAAATAGGTCTTTCTTGCAGTCCTGCAATGCAAATGGACTGAAATGATGTTTGTGCCCATATGGGTTGGGAATATACCATTTATGTCCATATGGGTTGGGAAAATCAAACTCAAGCACCAGATTGGAAATGTGGCACAAGTAGTTTTCAAAGCAGTGGAGGCTGTTCCTGCCCATGTGTAATGTTCCCTGAGAGGAAACATCCAGCATGAGAGAGTTTTCAAGCTTTCCTACCTTCATGTGCCAAAAAAGACCTGAATTCATTCCCACGAGATTGTTTGAGTTGTCTTTCAAAGAGCTTCAACCAGATATGACAGAGTTCTCACATGGAAACACAACCTGAAGATTTCATTTCAGAATGACATCAAGGCTTGCTTCAACATGAGGAATTTTGGGTCATACAAGGTGCTCTGCAACTTCTGCTGTGGTGACAAATGACTTTATATTTTATGGCAGAAATTTTTCATGTTGACTGGTGCTTTCACACAGGAGTTACATGGACAGCAAAGGGTTCATTGCACCATCTGAGCTCAAGCACCTTAACAGCTGCTCTCTTCACTGTCCTTATCTCCACGTTTGTGGGTGAGACATTCTTCAGTCCCATGAAAATACTGTCAAGCTAATAAGAGGCTGTTGGAGTATGTAATGTTTATTTATAAACCTGGTGGGTCTCTGCTGCAGCTCTTCAGACCTCACTGCTCATTAAATAATGGCTCTCTGGAAAGGAGATGCAGCAGAGAGAACACCAGCAGCACCTCAAGAGTTTGGCAGAGAAGGTTTTGCTTGTTTTCTGTGCAACATACTAACTACTCAGTGTGCTTAGAACACTCTTATGTTCCCATGTGGATGTGTATTTTCATAATAACTTACAGTAGGCTCACTTAATTTTCTCTCACACCTTCCCCTCCTTGAACTATACTCACTGCTTGTGTTAAAAGTGCCATCTTTGAGGTGTGATGTCCATGTAAGCATAAAAACTACATCCAGCACATGCAGAAGTGCACTTGTTTCCATCCTGTTTGCCCATGATCCCTTCACTCCTGTTGTTCTGGGGCCACAGGAGCATCAGTGAAGATACTGAGTGTTGGCTGAGCCTGTGTTCTATGCCTCATTACTGCTGGAGTCACCCCACAGGAGCTGTACATCTTTGACGTGGTGAATGTGCAGCAGTGGAGGAAAAATAAATGTTACCAGTTGCTTTGCACGTATTGTGAAAACAGTAATTTTGAAAGAGTATTAAAAGTTTTAGTCACTTTGCAAAATGAATAAAAGTTGAGGCATTTCTTGAGCTATCTCATTGGGTCACTGCTGGGAATGACTAAAAGTTTCAGCTGCTTCATGAAACAACTGGAAAACTTATTAAAGACACTGTAGGACCCAGCATTATGGGCTCTCTGCTGTACTATTTGGGTTATGAAAGCCTTCATACTCTGTGTGAAGTAGTGTTCCAGCAATGCTTTACTGGTTAGAATTGCCAGTAAACAGAAACAGGTCTCTCCATCCTTCTCTGGGGACTCTGTGTGCACCTCAGGTCAGGCTCTTTGACCTGCCCTGAGCTTTGTACCAGGCTGCTGCTTCCTCAACTGAGGTACCTCAAAATGGAGCAGTGTTCCAGCTGAGGGGGAAAGACTGTGTAATTAAAGTGTGGCCTGTACTCCTGTTTGTGTGTTCTGGCGTGATGATTATCTTCACATGACATTGCTGACTTGAATTCAATCTGTGACCCAGAAGAGACCTCCATTTCCTTTTCTAAGGAACTTCTGCCTAGCCTGTTGTTCTCCATGCAGTATTGAGCAAATAATGACTCCTTCTAGGATTCAATTGAATTCTGTGGTTTTTCCTGGGTATTTGATTGGTTTTCTTAGGAATTTCATGTTAAGGCTGGAGTCTTCAGCTGGTTTTGAGAGAAGCTGCTGTAGTAGCCCAGGCAAATATGAAACACCTGGTGCAGCTGTTGCAGAGCAAAGAGATAATATTGCCACTTTTGTAAATAAGCTTTAATTCTGGTGTTTGATTTATGTTATTGTGTGTTTAGGAGATCAATGCACAATGCTTTAGTTTTATAAATAAGTGTAGTATTGAGTAGTTCCCCATTTTCTTCTGGTTTCAGGTGTTAGGGCTTCAAACCTGTCATTTCATACCTGGTATTTTTTGTTGTTTATTGGATGTTTTAGTAAGTGTGCAGCTTGTCCAGTTTCACTATTTCATCTAATAATTACAGTTGCTGTAGTGTGTGCAATCATTTTTTTTCCTCCACACTTGCAGACTAAAGCAGCAGAGTTTTTCACAATCGCTGCCCAGACCATGGAGAGCTTTGTGAAGTCATTAAGTGAAGACATGAAACAGCAGGATTTGGATTCTGAGGAAAATCAGTTTGTGTTAGCTTTGGCAGGGATTGTAACAAGTAAGTGCATGTTATCTCTCAGAACAGCCTTCCACGTGTACTGGGAATCCACAGTGCCTTATAGAAGCTGCAGTAAATACAGCTTTTCAGAGTGAAGTAGTTAGGCAGTTGTTGATATCTTGAGTGCCTTCCTGCTCTTTTAAGTTCTAGCAAATTTTGTTACTGGCACTTCAGTGAGGCACTGTACTGTCTGTGACGTCATTAGGGATTAGATGGGCAAGAGCCATTGAGTTCTGAAATTCCTTTACATATCTATTCAATCTGGAGTGAAACAAGGATCATTCTGCTAGTCTTGTATGGTCACCTAAGTCTGTAAATGTCAACCATTCACTTTCTGAATTGCCACTAATGCCAACATGTTCAAGATGTGCAAGTTGCAGGTGGTGTGAGTAGCTCAGCCCCATCTTAGGATATGGGCTCAGCATCTTGAAACTGCTTAAGAATTTTGTTGCTGTCAGATGGATCACACCTTCACTGTCCTAAGGGAAGTGAAAGGTAATAAACCTGGCTTCCATCCCAACTATTTCTTTTTAGGGCGAGAAAACAAGTAGAGAGCCACAGATCTGTCTTAGTATGACTGCCCTTGTCTTGACAGGCTGTGAAAAACAGGGTTGACACATCATCTGCATTTTTGTGAAACTGTGTAACTGTCAAAATGACACTAATGACATGATTCAAGACAGATGAAACAATGGCTGTTTGTACAAATAAGTGACTCTTGCATGAACAGCTTTTTTTTGAATGTGTGATTTCTAGCTGTTGTGATGCCATTAAAGATTGTAATAAAATCAATATGTGATGCATTATGGCATTGTACCGAGGAGGAATCCAATTATCTCCAATTGCTTCATTGAAAAAATTAGAAATAAAGCATTGCAGAAGTAAAATCTTAACAAAGAAAATGTTTAAAGGCTGGGCAGGGTTTGGGGGCAATTTGAGGCTCTGTCTGAGGAGGAATCATGATGGTGGAATGAATTCTTGCTTCACTGAGGCTGATACAGATTTTACCAATCAGTTTGATATTAGCAAAGTTTGTCTCTTTATCTGTAACTTGAGAAAGGAGGTGGCTGAAACTCAAATGTGGTAAAGGATACAGTTGGATGTAGAGGAACCTGTTTTATCCTCCCAGTTACACTGTGCCAGGTGCCTAGTTACCAGGTTCTGTCACTAGTTATCTACACTGTGCTTCATGTGTTTGGAGGAGGCTTGGCCAGTGGCACAGTGCAAAGATGCTCAGGTTGCTGGAAGACATCTCTTGCACATAAGGATGCCCAAAAGTATGGGGCAGGCATAATGGAAAATACTAAAGGCAAGTCTGCTTTGGAGCAGTAGTCTCTGAAAATAATGTTGCCTTTTGGTTTGTGCTTGAATGATGCCAGCACATGCAGAGAGGTAGGAAAAAGGCTTTTGGGTAGGTGTTCATGAGAGTTGTGTCATGTGCTAGGTGTATTTGACCCTGCAACCTTGTTTCTGTAAGGTGGAACCTCTAATGGTCAGCATTGCTTCAGTCCCACCTTATTTGTGGATGAAAACAGCCTTTTGTCTCATAATTCACTATGTTGCTAACATTTTAATTACCACAGCAGAGTCACGAAGGAGCTCAACCAGCGTCACTTGCTGCTTCACTATTTGCTGTATAGGTGAAAGCAGTTGGAAGTTTATATAAGTACTATAGTTCATTCTCCACAGCTGACATCTCTCTTCAGTGGCCCTGTTAATTAGCATAAACTTTGCTTTGGAAGGTGATTGTTATGGTGATGTTCTGTGCTCTCTCACAGATGTGGCTGCTCTGGCGTGTGGCCGTGAGTTCCTGGTTAGCTCGAGTCGGGAATTACTGGACACGATGGTGCACCTCCTGGGAGAGGTGAAGCCAGGACTCTGTAACAAATTCAAAGTGTAGGATGGCTTTTTTCTTTCTTTCTTTCCAATGAAATGCATTATCCTGCAGTGGAGGTCGCCGTGATGACAGAGGTTTTCCCACTCTCCCATTATTCCTTTCCTGGAAACGTGGTTTTAGGAAACTCTTCACAGTAGCATTCCTTGGCTACAAGGCCTTATACAGGTTCTTCAGAAGTCTCTTAAGCACCATTATACTGTGAAGATGAGCAGGGATGCCCTGTTCTCCCTTGGGAGGGGGTTGTGAGGTGAGTGTCAGATAAGAAAGGTGTGAGGTCAAGTTTTAAAACAGAATGGATGTGGGAAATTTGGACTCAAATTTATTCCCTTTCAATATGAAGACTGTAAAATGCCACATCTGCTTAGTGAAGAAAGTGAGTTACGGATCTGCTAAGAGTAAAAATTAAGGTAGTTTAGGTTGCTTAGTAGCCAGACACCATATACTCTTGTTTGTAAAAGGTAATGCCTATCAAGGACCTTACCATGAAGCATCAAAGGCAAGTCTGTGTTACACAGTCCAGGTACTGGATAAGTACTTCTCAGAGTTTAAATAAACTATTGTCTTTGCCTTTTCCTCAGAGATGTTACAGCTATACCTCACAGCTGAACATGTTCATTATTTTGGAAATGCAATGTATTTTTTCTCAATCACACCATGGGAGGATGTCAAGTTATAACTTCGTCAGTTAAAGAGAAATTTGACTTATAATTTTAAAGGACATTGTTGTCCTTTGCTTAGTTTGGAGTTTATCAGTTAAAGAGAAATTTGGCTTATAATTTTAAAGGACGTTGTTGTCCTTTGCTTAGTTTGGAGTTTTTACAATTCTTTTCCAGATTTTATTTTCAAAACTATTTTTCATTGCTGTGTGGCAACTCAGGGGAAAGTGTGAGTCTAACTCTACACACAGCAGTATCAAAGTAAGCTGATGAAGAGAGGAGTTCTCTTTTCTGGTCCTAACAATCCTGTGTTTTACTTGTGTGAGTATGTAAGTGAAATATTACAGGGAGAACCTGTCATTTATTCCAAAACTGCTGATACTCACTGTAGTCCATGAGTATGGAATGAGTATATCCAAGGCATCACAGGTGCTGGGACTGAAATCTCATGGGTGTCTTTGGCTGTCTTGAAATAGCAGTGACATGGAAGACTTTAGGTTTACTTCTCACTGGTGCAGGGTTTGTTGGACATGTATAAATCACAGAATCAATCAGGGTGGAAAAGACCTCTGAGATCATCAAGTCCAACCTATGACCTAACACTACCAAGTCAACTAGACCATGGCACTAAGTGCCATGTCCAGTCTTCCCTTAAACATCTCCAGGGACAGTGACTCCACCACCTCCCTGAGCAGCCTGTTCCTACTCTTAATCATCCTTTCTGTAAATCTTCATTGACTGTCTAACAATTACAAAATTGTTCATATCTGTAATTAAATTGTTAGGAATATTCAACTTTGCTTAGGTAGCAGTTGAAAGTATCCAGTAGAAATATGTACTTTAGTACACAACAGAACATTTTATGCACTAATCCCATGTATTAAGCAGACAAGAAGGAGCTTTAGCTGTGCTTTTAGTTCTAGATTTTAAAGAAAGTATTGACAGATACAGTCGTACAAGATGTTAATTAAATTCGGCTTGCCTAAATAGGAAGACTATGAATTGCATAATTAAGACTCCCTCCACATTTAAAAAACCCCCAAACCACCAGAAAGTGTTGTTTATCCCATAATTATTTGTGTCAGGTTTGCCTCAATAAGCACTTATGCAATAATTACTGCAAAAAATACTTACTAGAATGTGCAGGTACTAGAGGTGAAAGTGGTATGAAGGGCCTGGAAATGCTTCTACATTGTGCCTAGGTGAGTGTGTTTAATTAGTTATGCTCCTATGTATTAACATGCTCCTGCATTGGCCTGTGGGTGGGTTATGTCATCTCCCAGCACTCCCAAACCTCAGCACTTCCCTGGGTCACCACCACCAGTCCCTTTTGTCTGCACAAAGCAAACAAGTGAAAGAAAACCACAAACACAGCAGTACCTTTTTACGTCATGTCACTTCTAACTGCAAATGTCAAGCAGATTAAGGATGAAAGACATTCTCCAGAAATGCTAACATTGCTGTTATAAGATACTGTTTTATTGATCATTTCCATTCTGGCTGATTATGGGCAGTTGTGGCTCAGCTCCTTTGTCAGGGCTCGTGTTCTGGAAGCCAAGAGCTGCAGGGGCTGTATGGAAAGCAGTGTACAGGCTTTACCAGCTGCAGTTTCAGTACCTCTCACTGCCTGGCAGTGGCCACTGATGCAGTAGATTTATTAATCTTCTCTTTCTTCTTCCTACTGCTTAAGAGCTGAGGGGATCAAACTCACAGCCCATCACTTACAACTTGGTTTAGCCTGCAGTAAGTCACTTGCTTTCCTCCTTTCTGAAGGTGTTCACCAAGAGGATCCAAAGTTCTGCTGGTGGCACAGGAGCTTAAGCCATGAGAACTCCTTTGAGAACTGGATGTGAGGTGTGAAGTCCACGTGGAATAAAACAATTTCCCTTTGTTTGGACATGGTGGCAGTGCGTGACATGCAGGTTTATCACATTCATGAGAAAGAGCAGTAGCCAAGCTGGTCCCAGAACAGAGGAGAACAATCCAGCCCCTTCCTGAGACTTTCTTATTCTTGAATGGGATATTTTTCCATGTGTTTGAAATACCTGATTTAACAGTAGAAACGAGGTTCTGCACAACATTGCTTATATATAATTTGAGACTTGTCTCTTTTACCACAACATAAATTATTAGCATAGACTTCTGCATTTCTGCATGCTTGACACAAGTGGCAAAAGATGCTAAAACATGCAAAGAAATCAAAGGCAATCACATCTTTTTTTCTTTCAATTGTAGGCTAATGCTGATGTCACTTTACAATGTGAGTATCAACCTGAAAGGCTTGAAGTACATCAGTGAACGTCCAGGGTTTATTCCTTTGCTTTGGTGGCTGTTGAATGGTAAGTTGCTCCAAGAACCTTGTAAATTGTGACTTTGGGGGAATCTTAGGTTGGCAACAGGTGTTGCAAATAACAAACCAGAAGGTAATATCTGTAACCTGATTATGGTTAGCTTTTGACACATTAAAAGCAAACAGAAAGGGCAAATAGCTGGAAGGAGAAGGTGTGCATTTCCCACAAAATTTTGGCACTGTATGTAATATTCCATTGAGATGAAATTCATGGATGGTAGAATTGAAAACAGGGAATGCAGGAGTTTGATGAAGTGGATAATCTTAACATACCAACTTTAAAATAAACCCTGAGGGGAAACTACAAATCAGTTCAGTACCATTCAACAGAATAAAATGAACACATTTGGGGGAAAGAAGCCAGTGCTGTAACTAGAATGACCTGTGGCAAAAGTGTCCCCTCCTGCAGCTGAAGAGAGGCTTCATGTCTAATAGGATTTGGGTTTGCAGGGCTTGAGTACTATTCCCAGCTTTGCCTTTGGCCAGTGCAGGACTTCAAGGACGTCAGGGACTTGTACTGCCACTGTCAGGTACAGGAGTGACATCAAGGCTCTGCTCTTTTGGAGGCTTCAAATCCCTGTGTGGGAGCCAGCAGAGACTGACGTTGGGCTTGGCTGTGTGCACAGCTCGTGAGGGACAGTGAGCACAGCAGTCAGGACAGAGCTGGGACACTCTCCTGCCTCTGAACTGCTGCTGGAGTTGCTCTGTCTTAGCTTTCTCAAGTTTTTGTGGCTCATCCCTGAGAAGATTTTGGTGTGCAGTTCATAGGACTGGAGAGGTTAATTATCCCTCTGTGCTGCTCTGCTGAAATGCAGCTGGTAGATACTAATAGCAGCTGAAGTGAGAGGGGTTGCATCTGCTTTTCCAAGAAATTATTTGGATATTGAAGCTTTGGAAAAGCTTTGATTTGGACTGGTAAAGTGGAAGCTACTTGCATAGCTCACTGTTCCCTCAATTATTTTACAGAAAATGTAGCTCCTCATGCTTTTCATCAAATAATTTCCTGCTGTGGAATGCCACAGGCTCTCTCTTCTGAGGTATCAGGAAATTAAGTAATCCTTGTAAGGGAAAACACCAGTTCTATAGATTTTTTTAAATGTATTTTGAAGAAAATGGTATCCTCAGAGAGCACCAAGTACATGGCCCTTTGTTCAGCTATGCTCAGAAATTTAACACATTCATCCAGGTTTTCCTTCAGCTAATTTATACATAAGCTGTTCTAGCAAAAATACCAACCCAAAACACCCTCAAGAGCCCTAACTATGAGTTCCCAAATGTGCCCCTCTAAATGTTGTGATGAAACAAGGAAGCTGATGGTTTGATTCAGTCTGTTGTCTGGTGAAGGCTCCTAGTCACACAAGAGGGTGAATCAGGGCACAGTTATAATTAATTTGCAGCTGCTAATGGAAGTAAGAAATGGAAAGGCAGCTCTGCAATTTGGAAGTGTTAATTGTGTGTGGCTGAGTTGTGGAAGGAAGGATGGGCATGGCTAATTCCTTAGTTTTTGATAATGAAGTTCTCCAGTTAAGCGAAGGAAGATTCTCAGATGAACCACTCCTGCTGGTTCAGGTTCCTGACTTTGGAGGAAGTCTGCTTACTGGAGAAAGCAGACTCATTTGTATATCAGATGAGAGGTCAGATCCCAGACCTGATCTTGTTCCCATCATTTTGTGTAAAATCTCCGTAGTTTTCTTTACACTTAGTCTAATTCTAAACGTTTCAACTTGCAAACCTCAGAGGCATCCTCCCACTCCTGCTCCTGTCCTGTTTCTCTGTCCAGCATCTTCAGCTTCTGCTAGCCATGATTCAGCTTAGAAACACCTGGAGCTGCTACAGCATAAGGTCTAGTTTTTTCCATGCAAGAGAGTGGAGCACTACACTCTGCTGGCAGAGTATCCTGTACATGCTGCCTGCCTGCAGGAAGCTTCTTCAAAGAGTGTTTTGATTAAGGCTTATGAGATGACTCAGCTTTCCATAGTTTTGTATGCTTTTATCAGCATTCCCACTAAGACAGGCCCCAGAAATCATCCTCTGACTCTTATTTTATTTTCAGAGAATCATCCTGTTTGCTTTTCCATCGTCAATCTACAAGTGTCTGACCTCAGCCTATACATCAGGCCCATTTTTCTCCCACTGGCTTGTACACAGCTGATAAATCCTTCAGATTCCTCTCTGAATTCTCAGTCTCTGCCCATCCTTGTCCCCTGAAGAAGAATGTCCTTCCTATTAAGTGAAGAGAGCAAATAATTGACTCGATTTTCTTTATTTCCCTTTGTTGTACCTGAAGCAAAGAGGGATTTGATCCAAGTTGTCTCTCAGACTGAAGAGACAGATTTGTGCTTTGACATTGAATACACAGATTGCAAGAGAAAGGAGGGGAAAAAATCTAATACAGGTTTGTAGTAGAGTAAGAATGTTAACAGCAAACTGAGTTGGTCTCTCTTACTGTCTTTGGAAAAGTTGGATGAGCTGGAATGACTTCACATTCACGAACGAGAACTCATAATAGCTCTTTCTGCTGGAGGCTGTGCAGTTCACAGGAGAAAACCAAATGTTTGACACACTATTTGAAGGCAATGCAGATCTCTGTAGTTTTAGCACTTTATGAAGTTGGCTATCTTATCCTTTTTTCCTTTTTCCTGCCTTTTTAAAACACGGTCTAAAAGTTGGGCAGCCTTTAATAAGCACCACTGATCACTGAAGAATATCCTCTGTGTAGGTATCAGCTGTGCCTACCTACACTTTCCCAGCCTGGTGCCAGCATAAAGCACATGATTGATGACTCAGATTTCTGTCCATGGAGCAGCTTGTGGGATCAATAGAGTTCTCTTCTTGTGGAGCACCATTTGTTTGCAGAGCAGCTGTTCCCATCTTGGAGAAAAAAGGCAGCTTTAGTTTCCTCCATCAGCTGCTGTCCCTGTGTGGATGTCTTGGCTAAAGGTTTCACATAACTTCCAGACTTAAAGTAGCACTGCCCTCAGCAACAGAAAAAGCTGTATCATTTTGGGTAGAAATCCACCTGAGATTTATCAATACTTTTTCTTCTGGTGCTTTCCATCTATAGATGCAATAAGACTTCCATTCTTTAATTCCCAAAGAGGTAGACTAGGACTTCTGTCTGCCAAGGATCTTTTGGAGAATAAGAAGACACAGCCAGCTCAAGTATTAATAATAAAGACTAGATTTATGGTTTTAATTTTTGATCATGCAGTACATCTGCTAACAAGTGCTGGAGGAAAGGAGTCTAAGCTCTTCTCTGCTTTGTTTGTTTGGGTGATGGGGTTTTTTTTGTTGTTTGGGGGATTTTTTATTATTGTGTATCTTTATTTTGGTTTCCACCCTTTTCTTTGAACACAGTTAAAAATTGCTCTTGTTGGATACATGAGAAAGCATGGAATTCAGAGACACTATGTCAGTGACATTTCTCATCTATAGCTGGAAAATGGCTCCAGGTACTTCATTAAGCAAAAGACAAAAAAGAAAAGTATGACTAATTTTAGATCTTGCCCTTTAGTTTCCTCCACCACAGTTCCACATGGAAATCTAACCTTGTTTATCCAAATTCTTTGCAAATGATGGTCTCTATTATAAATGCTTGTATGAAGCACATTCTCATTTTGCTGCCTGCACCCTTCAATATTTGCTTTTCGTGACTAACCCTGAAGGTTTCTGATGCTTTGCTCTTCTGTCTGAATGTGTTATGGCTGTGAGAGGTTTTCAAAATTCAGGTTATTTACATGGCAGCATGTTATTTAAAAGACATCTGGACAAACAGAACCCTCCTATTTATAAACTGATGTCTGCATTAAAACAAATTTTGGTTCATAAATCAAAACCTCAGTTACCAGCCTTTCAAGTGCTCAGCAGTTTCATACTCTTCAGACTATGAAATGAATCCGAGGAGGATTATTGCCCTTCTTGCCCCTTAAGACCACATCCATTTTTGTCAATGCAAAGATGTCAGCTCTGACGCAGGAAGTCCCTGAGCCACAGTTAGCTTGAGAGGCTGGAAGAGTGGCCAGGGGAAGTCTTGCCCTTTTCCATGCTCCTACTTTTCCATGCTTAGCTGCTGCAAACGAGAGCTGCCCGGATGGAGCTCCGGCGGGGTGCAGCCTGGCTGTCCTTGCCATCTCAGCAGGAGCTTCTTGACTAGGTCCTTGCAGGGTCATGCAAACTGATGTTCTCCTGAGGAACACAGTGTTACCTGCCACCTACAGAGCAACGGCTGCAAACCCCTTTTCACTTGCAGCCCCTGAGCAGTGGTCAGACATACTGGGACTGAGTTGCTGCTTCAGCCTGGACCCTGTGAGCCTCTCTCAAGGATTTCCCTGAGAAAAGCATGACAAGCATGTGTCTGTAGGAGAGTGGGGAATTCTCTTCAGCTGCACTCAGTGTGAGAGCAGCCACCTGGCCAGGAAGGAGACTGAAGCTGTTACACCAGGACTGGTGCAGATATTTTGCAGAGAAAAGGTGCATAAGAGTCCAAAGGAATTGCAGCAAAGCTCAGTCTTTTTTTCTGCCATGGTGTTCTCCCTGCTCCTTCCCCACAGAGCAACTTTACTGCAACACTTCTTGTCTCCTCAGACCAATCAACAGTATAGAAATATCTGGAAAACTCTCTGCTCCTACAGATGCTGCTTCAGCTCTGCCAGCATTGGCAATGCAAAGGGATCTCACCTGGGGGAAGCTGTGGTCCTGTCTGTCTGTGTGAGAAACACTGTGGACACAGATAATCTGACAGGATCATAAAGGAAAGGCTGAATAGCAGGTTGTCCCTTCCTGCTGGAATCAGGCAGTAATGGAATTGAATGACATCTACAGCAGTTGTGGGAAGCTTTTGAAATTATAGAGTCATAAAATGGTTTGGGTTGGAAGGAACCTTAGAGAACATCTAGTTCTCAGAGCTCCATCCAGCCTGGCCTTGAACACTTCCAGGGATGGGGCATCCACAGCTTTCTTGGGCAACCTCTTCCACAGCCTTACCATACACATAGTGAAGAATTTCTTCCTAATACTTAATTTAACCCTCTCCTTTTTCAGTTTAAAGCCACTGGCCTTTGTCTGGTCACAAATCCCTCTCCAGCTCTTGTGTAGTCCCTTTAGGTACTGGAAGGGTCTCTAAATTCTCCCTGTAGTCTTGTCTTCTCCAGGCTGAACAGCCCAAACCCTCTCAGCCTGTCTTTGCAGCAGGGGTGCTCCAGCCCTCTGAGCATCTTCATGGCCTCCTCTGGACTCACTCCAGCAGGTCCACATCAGGGACCCCAGAGCTGGATGCAGCACTCCAGCTGGGTCTCATCAGAACAGAGCAGAGGGGCAGAATCCCCTTCCTCACCTGCTGCCCACACTGCTTTGGGTGCAGCCCGGGACAGAGTTGGCTTTCTGGGCTGCCAGCACACACTGCCAGCTCATGCTGAGCTTCTCATCCATCAGCACCTCCAAGTCCTTCTCCTCAGGGCTGCTTTCATTCCATTCATCCCCCAGCCTGTACCTGTGCTGGGGATTGCCCCTGTCCATGTGCAGGACCTTACACTTGGCCCTGTTGAATGTCTGTGCTCTTGTGCACAGACATATCTGTAAACAGCTTGCTGGCAGTAAACCTTGTGATCAGGTAGCCACGGAATGGTGTGGCCACGTGCAAACTGAGTTCACACAACTCGGAGCCAATTGTGGATAAGCAGTTCAGTGTTGATGTAATGCAATTACTTAAACCCTGCTGCAGGGAACAGTTCATCTGAGAGCCTGGTGCTAATGACAGATGTGACTAAAGTCTGTCCACGTTATCAGTTGCTTTTGTCAGTGACTGGAAGGCAGTGACATCAAACGGTGGTGCTGGCAGCTAGCAGGACGTCAGCAAACTCCAGCAGTTCCAGCACCTTGCTGAAATTACATCAGCATCTCATGGTGGTGGTATGCCTGTGATCCCTGGCTGAGGCAAGCAGCTTGATTTCTTCCCCTCTTCCCCAGAAATAATGGTTGTAGTTTTGAAATTTTAGTTGGAGTTGTGTGTGCTGGTTGTTGGGAGGATGTGATGCAGTGATTTGATTACAGCTAAAGGATGTTTTTGATCTTGTACAAACAAAATGTTGCTCAGCTAGTGTAGAAATGACTAAATCTGGAAGCTATTGAAATAAATATAATGCTGAATAATGAAGATTCCTTACGTTTCTCTGAGTGCTCTGTAGCCAGGGCTTTTAGAAAACGTCCCTAATGATAGTGGAGACAAGAGAAAGGCTTCTATGGTATGTTTTAAAATCCTCTTAGGAAACATAATTATCCGTAGTAATATTCTCAAAAACCACATGTAATCCTAAGGGAGTGTATTTTAAGGCATATGTATTTATTTAACTTGGAGCATCTCAGAATGCATCCAAAACAATGGCAATCTGAGGTTAAATGTGTATTAAGTCATCTTCTGTTGCAGGATCATTTCCTTCCTTTGCTGTATGCCCAAGTGCCTAATCTGTTCTTCATTTGACTGACTCAAGCCCTTGAGCTTCCCTGGCTCCTGCTGGAGATTCTTCCTAGAACCTCTTGGCTCTTACTGGAAAACATTCCTGAAAAAAAATCCTGATCTCCTACAGATCCTAATTTTGTTGGCTCCCCTGCTACCACTTCCTCCCTGATCAATTCTTTAGTTTCTGCAGCCTTTGAACACTTGCAGATAATAGTAACATCAATGCCTGAAACAGTATTAATAACAAAGCTCTTTTCATCTTACATATATGAAGCTTCCCAGCAGTACTGCAAGGCATTAAAAGTATTAATGGCTTTATTTCCTGGAGGAATAATGTCACACAGAGGAAGATTATAATGAACTGCATAGATTTCACTTCCCAAAGCTTCTTTCTTCTTACCTATTTGGCCTATAGTTTGTGGCTTCTATTTCTGGGGAACAAATACAGAATAATACTAAGTAAAGATCATACACACTCTGCTGGTTTTCTAAGAGAAAGCAGAATTCCTTTCTTTAGTGGTTTCCACTTTGTATTTCCATGTATGATGGAAAATGGAGGAAGAGTGAGATAGTGACTGTCTTGTGGGTGTGGGTCAGATCTCACAATCTTTAATACTGTGCTTCAGCCATGTGCTGGTGGGAATGACTGAGGAGTCCCCATCTCAACAGTAAGTTCCAAGCTTAAAGCCATAGTCTTCTTCACTGTCCCTCACATTCTGTTCTCTGCCCCCCTGGGTGCTTTCAACCTTTATTCTTTAATGAGTAATTCTCCTCAGTCCTTTCTCAGGTCACCAGTGTTAGGTATTAAATAAGCCAGGAAAGGAAAGAACTTGCCTCAGCCCACCAAATGCTTCCTCAAAGCTCAGCACGCTGTGGTTTATCACTGCACTACATTTATGCTCCTTCAGTGAGATTTTGGTCTCTCTGGTGATTTTGTGTGCAAAGTGATCAGAATTAATTTTCTCAACACTTTTGCACGGGGCTTTATCAAAAGCTTGCTGAGGACTAGGTATGCTAATGAAAACCACATTAAAAATGCACAGCACGTGGAACAAATAACTACTCCAGCCATAAAAATATATTAGATGTTTTCATTTAGAATAGGCAGAGTAGAGAAATCTTTCTACCAGGTGCTTTGATAGAGCCATAAACCACTAAATGCAAATGGACCATTGTGAATGATTAAAATATAATGCTCCTAATGGTTCAGTAATTAAAAATGCATCCTGTGTTCTTAGCAGTGGAGTTATTGCATGTCTTCCTGGCTTAAGTCAGTCAAAGGTCTCTGCTGCATTTCTCTGACGCATTCCTGAGCAGCAGTGCTTGGCCTCAGTGCCCATTTCAATTTTGTGTACACTGAGCTAAACACTTGGAAGGTTGATACATGGTTGCTAGAAAGCTTTATGGAGATGAATATTTTATGGAGCTTTGAAGAAATCTGAAGGCTTGGATAAAAAGAAATTAAAGAAAAGCCTGGTGATTTACTGCAGGTTTGATTCATTGGTCTGTTTGCCTTTTGAGTCTGAATAGTCATGGGCTGTAGCCTGTTCTGCTCTAAAGTCACATTGCATCCAGCAGTACATTTTGGGTACTGACTGGATAAATTTGAGTTGATAAATTCCCTGCTTTATAGCATTTTCAACATCTGAACAACAAGAGAAAGGTTCCTGGTTATCTCTCCCTCCCAAACACTGCTGAGCAGGAGCTGCTGAGGAGGACAAAGATGTTTTTTTCAGGTTCCTTCTAGAACCAGCCCCAGGGAATTACGAGCCTTCAGTTACTCCATGGGTCTTGAGGAATGGCACTGCAGAGCTTTAATGCCACCCATTCAGACTGAGTTGCACTAAGCACTGGCTGTTTTCCTTTCCTGTCAGACCCAGATGCAGAGGTTTGTCTCCACACCCTGCGGCTGCTGCAGTCGGTGGTCCTGGAGCCCGAGGTGCTGGCCAGGGCAGCGCCGGAGCTGCGCGACACTCTGCCCATCCCACGCATCCTCGCCCTGGCCGAGAGCCGCAATGCAGATCTGCAAGCACTTGCAAAAGAACTACTTGAAGATCTTAAAATATTTGAGTATGAAGCATAGAAGAGCTCTATGACACCAACTGCTTACGTCTTTCCTATATTTTTATGCTGCCAGTGTTGTTGGGGATGGGCTTGACTGAAAAAAACCCAACAAACTTATGTCCAAATTCCTCTGACAAAATCTGGAAATTAAGTAACCTGACTCAAATCCTATTTGGGAAAACATGTTGGGTTTTAGCTGCCCAAATGTGTTGTTAGATGATCTGGTAGAGATGGGACAGACCTAATTTCTTGGAGTAGGATTTTGTTGATAGTGGGTTTCCAAAATGGTTCGGGTTATGTTGTCTGTTTGCTGTCTACAGGGAGTGAAACACTCCTCTCATTCATTGGTAATATACAGTTACTGCTTGGTCCATCCTTGAGAATTATTGTATTGTGGGGAAAACTTTGTTGCCTTTCAGAACTCTGGTGTGCCAGAATGTATCCCAAGTTCCAGTTTTATCGTTGTTATTTCTCACCTCTCTTCTTCTACTCCAATAAAAGAAAACTGAAATTCTGCATCATGTAATGGAGTCTGCTTTCAAAAGTTGTATTCAGATTCACTCCAACTGCAAGGCAGCCCAGTCTGTGGCTGCCAGGCATACTAAAAACTGAGCCATTGTTTGTAGAAAAGCCCTGAGAAAGGCAATGAGTTGCTGTTGTCTGTGGTACCTAAGTTGTGTGCTGAAGAGGCTGAAATGAACTCCTGCTCTGTCGTGAGCAGCATCACATCCCCTCACACTGTGATGCTTCTTGGAGCTTCTGTAAGCAGCTTGCTTACCTCAGGGGTAAATACAAACATTTGGGTGCTTGGTAGTGGTAGAACTACAATTTTTCAAGAAAAGAATAGCATTTGATTCTGTGATGACAGAAACAGCCACTTAGGTCAGGCTGTTGAAGGGTACAGCAAATGGGAAGTGCAGTGCTGTGGTAGAACCTGTTTCCATGCTGAAGTTATTGCAGCTCAGCTGGGAATCCAATGTATTAACAAAACACAATGTGGACTTCTAATCCAAATGCATAGAAAACACAAAGTAAACTTCATAGGATTTAAATACTGAGGTTGGCAGACAGCTTTAGAGGAATACCGTTGTAAAATGTGTAAGCTAAGGAATAGGTCATCTCCCATTAGGTTGTTTGCAGAATGATGAATGTTCAGAGTCAGAAGTTTAATAAATCAGCTTAAAATTGCTTGGCTCAAACACTGCGGATGGTAGAAGTCTGATTTGGGGCTGAGAAATGAAGATTAAGATAGAGATCTCACATACATGAACAGGTTGCATAGGGTGCTGCTGTGTCTGATTCAACACTGCATTGAACTTACCAAGTGCAGGTTTTTGGAAGGCTTTAAATCTTCTGGTTTCCTTGGATTTGTTTCCTTATCTTGCTATCCTAGTTAATCCTCCTAGACTTTAATCCTAAAGGGATCAAAATGATAATTGGAAATTTCCTGGAATATTAACTCCTGAAAGTGTTCAATTTTAAGAAACACTGAAGGGCATCCACTTCCCTTTTAATTGCTCTCTGCTCCTGAAGGTCTGTCATCAAACTTTTGGATGCCAATAAATAACAGGAAAAGAAAAAAGTCATTCTGTGAGCAGAAGAGCTGATGGAGCCTAATGTCCTGTGGATCTGAGGTATTTCTTGGACACTTCCCTGTCCTTCTAGGCCCACCCAAGGGTCAGCATGAAGTGCACGAGCTGAGGGTGACACAGACTTGTGGCCAGGTTGGTAAGCTGTGGCCACTGGCAGATGCAGTGTTAGGAGAGGGACTGGCAATGCTTTTGCATCTTATTTCCATATGAAATCAGGGAACCAAACAATCAGGACTGATTATTTTAATAGTGTGTCCACTGGCATGGTCATCACTTGAAAGCCATGCTGGAGTAGGTGATTTTATACACCACAGTTTTTCCCCAGCAAGCTGCTCATACCTGATGATAAATTTTTCATTGTCTCCCAGGTGACTTTATTTTCAAGGGTAGCTTGCCAGAGCTGTTTCCTCGGAGTCAAGTCATCGATGATCCACCAGCCTTGAGAAAGTCTTTTTTCTGTACTAAGTGTTCTATTGTGCAAGACTGGGAAATAAGAAAAGGTCACTCCACCTGTGAAATACAGTGTACATTTAAAAATACTAGAAAGCAAAAATATTAGAAGCATCAGAGAAAACTTGTGACAAACAGTTCTCTAGGAAAGTCCGTGTGTTTTCCCTAGACTTACTTTGTCCAGGGGTTCACAATTAATTCTTTATTTGGGTTTTTGGGGAAGAAGAATACAACATTTCAGGGGAACTTGTTATCACAGGGAAGCAAATTCATAATACTTTTTGGTTTGGAGAGGGGAAAAAAGGTATCACTGGAGTCAAATTGTGCTGAAGTAAGGGGAGTGGATAGAAGCCAGGGATAAGCCTGACCCCCTAACATTCCAGAGTGTTTAAGATGTCACCAAGGTGTCTCATGCTTCAGTGCTTCAGTCAAATAAGTTGGACATTAGTAGCTGCAAATTGTATTAAGATCTGTTATATCTTTTTGCAGTTTTCCAAGTTCCCTTATTCCCCAAGCCCTCATTTGATGGTGCCAGGCACCAGCCAACTCCTGCTCCTCTACAGGCTGTGTTGCAGTGAGTTAAACCTTTCTGCTGTGGAGTGAAGTCTGCAGCTTCCATACTGTGCATCTGTGCATACTGCTGGACATGTCATGGTGGGATCCTCCCAGACCTTGGCATCTATCATAAACTATTGATCTGTACTCCCCAACAGTGGCATCAATGCCCTCTTTATTGTTTCTTTCTCCAAGCCAAAACTGGGGTGAGTCTCGTGCCATTGGCTGTAGAGGAAGCTGCAGTGACTTGCTGAGACAAGGTGCTGGCACTTTAGGTGTCTAAAATTAGGTGTGGTGTATCCTACCCTTTGGTGTCTGTTTTGCAATAACAGATAAGAACAAGTTTTCAGGTCACTTTGCTGTTTGCAGACAGCATTTTTCAATCTCTGTGTTGATAAGCTTGAGAAATCCCAGTTCAGAGCAGAGTGTTTAAAGGCTTAATTTGTCTTCATGTGGTTAGTGCTAGAAATTAGGCCGATAAGTAACTATGGATCTCCTTTGAGTCTCCCTCTCCCCTGAAAGACATCTTTATTTGACAGCTTATGAATAAAAGAAAGTCTCTGTATCGCAGGTGGTGCTTCAAAACCTTAGAGCCTGTCAAAGCTTTATGTATGAATTTGGACAATGAGTGGCAAACAGGACACAAATGACACTACAAGTGGCTGTTGCAGTTAAAGATTGGTTAACATATGCATTGGAAATCTCAGCCTTTGCTGTGGAGATTTGCTTCAGTCTGAAACTGTGGACCATTAGGAAGTTTTACAGGTTTAAAATCAAGAGTTCAGCCTATGCTTTGGTAAACACCAGCTTTAGAGTGTTGCTTTTCTGGATCCTGTTGAAAAGTTTGGGATTCTTCTGTGTAATAATTGATTAACTGCATTACTAGCTTACAGGAGAAAAGAGGATTCACACAATCAAAGCCCTGGTTTCACTTGCCATGTTCAAAGTCCAGAGCTACTCCAGTGTTGCTGTTTCCTCTGTTGCACAATCTCAGAGTGAAGAAGAAAACGTGAGTTTGGTGTTGCTTTAAGATTATCAGAGTTATCCCAGATTTATCCCCACATAACTGAAAACAAAATGTGACTCTTACGCTAAACTGTCTCAAAAGATGAAAAATCTGTTTAAAAACCCCTTGAAGAAAGTGCCTGTTTGCTTTACAGTATCAACTCACGATTAAAACTAAACTTGGCTCCTTTCAGTCTAAATTCAGCATACAGAGCCCTGAAATGATGTCTGTCTGCTGATGCACCTGGGAGATACTGGTTCTTCATATTTGATGCTGATGATCAATTAGATGCAAAGGAAAAATGAGTAATGATCCCCTAAACGTATTTCCTGTAACTTAAGAAGTTTAGCTGTGTAATGTACTGCCCCACCAGTTCTTTGTGTGGTACCTCAGATCGATGCTTGGCCTGGACTATGAGCTGGCTCAAAAGAAACTGGAAAACTTCAGTAGAAGAAAGTAAGGCCCAGTGTGAAGACAGAGCTCCTCAGTGGCTCTGTGCCCTGTGCTGAGGGACAGGCATGGCAGCATGAGTGGCCTGGCATCTCTGAAGGGCACTGGAAGATCTTGGATGGGAACAGCAACCAGCTGCCCAGTTGCTGAGGGAAGATAGTGTTTGGTTGCCTGCTGACACTGTCCCACTCCCAGCACCTCATGGCAAAGGCAGTGAGCTAGAGTTCAAAGCACATCATCCCATTGTTTAAGGGAAGTAAATGCCTCTTCAGGAAGAATGGGAGGAAGAATGGCAGAGCATGGCAGTGGTGCTGCGGCCACGAGTGAACTTTCAGATGGTTCAATTTCAGCTGGTTGCACCAGTCATTTAGCTGCTCCTTTGGGTTATCATTTGCACTTGTGCTATGTGCGGATTAGCACAAATTGGACTTCAGAATTGATAAGGTTTTACAAGTCTTGCAAAGACTGGATGATTCATCTCCTCTCCTGCCTCCAGTCCTGCAGGGACGTTGGAGGTGAGGAGAAAGGAGTTTTACTGGGGGAAAAGGAACCACTGTTTCCTCTGTTGTCCCTGCACAGTACATGTACTACAAGTTAAGAGACATGCAAAGCATGGCTGCCCCTTCCTTTCTCATCACAGCATCTCATTTGCAGCTGCATCTGGACGTGTCTGTGTTGATCTATAGGTAATTGTCATGGTTTGTATGCAGAAACTTCTGCAACTGCTAGTTGCTGCTTGTATATGTGAGTTACAAGTTACAGCTGATAAAAAGTCATTAAAGAACTCTTGAGGCCACAGAGATTTTAGCTTCTCCAGTGCTTTATGATGACCTTTACAACCTATAACTTGCTCGGTCGGAAACCTTGAAAAGACTTTGACCAAATTATAGCTGCACATGTCGTTTATGGGACTATAATTTTTACTGTGGGTGCGACTGCAGTTAAAGCTCTTCAAATGCCAGGTGC